GAGAGGAAAGGTCTTTGGAGGCTGGAAGGGTATCCTGGGAAGAACATGTCATTTGGAAAAAACAGCAGTGGGCAGTTCAGGCTGTGTTTAGGTTTGGGGTCCACATCCATGAACTGTCCCTGCTACTGTCCACAATGTTTCATCCCCCACATCTGGGAAGTTCTCCCATCCAAAACCCACATCCCATACCTGTGATTAAATCATTTCCTTGAGTCTGGCTACAACTGTAAAAAAACCCAGCACCTCATAAGTCTCACTGTAAAAAGTTTCCCTCAGTGTGACTTCAGCATAACTACCTAGCAAGTTCCCTCAAATTTAGAACTGCTAAAAAATGGCTATTTAAAGACTTTTCCCAAAAAAGGGTGAAGAGAGGCCACTGGGAAATGCATGGGCTCTGGGTGCCACAGCTTGTGTCCCTCTGGTTGGTCACACTGGGCCAGGTGTGCTCATCACAGCCCCTTTTGTACATGCCATTGGTGCATCTCTGGCTGGAATAGAAAAGGTGGAGGAGGAACCCAAACATGGGGAGTTCAGGATTTATGTTAGGAAAACCAGAACAAACCCCCCCACGTTTGCATTGGAGACATTGTGTGATCCATGGGAATGAGCCTGATGGCTCTTTCTTCCACTGGCACCACAAAGTGCTTTGCACACCCACTGCCTTGGAATTGCTCCCTTTTCCCCCCTCCTCCATTCTGCTGCCAAGGAAGCTGCACCAATGGTTTGTTCTAAAGACCTGTAGGTCTGTACAGTCGCTCAGTTCCAGAGGCTGAGTGGTCTGAATGTTGTAGGACACAGAGGGTCTGAGACAATGCTGGGCAAACTCAACAAACCCAGAAACTCACCTCCAGAAACAACAAAGCAAGGAAAATGCTAAACAGAAGACAAACAAACAAAAAAAAAAAATCACAAAAATAAGAATGGAACAATGGGCTCAAATCAAAACACGTTAATGTGTGTTAAACACAGGTTGTTTTCAAGCAAACATTGCATCAATGACAGAACCAATGTCCCAGTCTAGATTTTCAACCTGAAAAGCCATGAAATAAAAAAGGGTCCTTCAGGATAGAGTTCACCAGGTGAAAAAGCAAAGTGCAGTGAGGTAAATCTGTTCAGGTTAAACCATTTTGGTGGAGCAGAAGGCAAATCTAGAAGTCCTGGGAGATGGATGAAGCAGGAGCTACAAACCAAGTGCAGGGAGAATACTGTAACAAAGCACTGTGAGGAGGATGCAAGACAGGTGATTTCTCGACACCACTGCAATGATGAGAGTGTTATTAAAAGAGATCCCCAGGACACCACAGAGCTTTGCTGTCTATCAATCACAAACCAATTCGTGGCTCACACAGCAGCCAATTCCATGGGTGAAGGTGAAGGTGCCTCTTCAGACCCACCAAGCAGGCTGACAGGCTAAATAAGCAGCCAGTTCTGTGTGCTTAGGAAACAGCATTTTGCAACTGATGCAAGAAATTGGATCATTTTTGGAGCTCAGTTAGGAACAGAGGCTGGAATGGAAGAGGGGAGCAGAAGAACTGGCATAGGGAAACTGCACAGGAGCAAACCATGAGTACACACTGTATTTGCACAGGGAAAGTCATAATATCATAATATGTTAAGGGGTTGGAATGGACCTTAGAGATCATCTATTCCCACTGATGAGGTGATCCAGAGGTGCCTTTTCTGGTGACTTCCCTGAGACATCTCCAGTGCCTCTCCCACACCCTTTGCTCACAGCTCAGTGCTGGTGGCACAGCTTGATCTCCTGGGGGCATCATTGGTGCATTTAGCCAGGAGGATGTGTCATAGTATCATAGTGTGTTAAGGGATTGGAATGGAGCTTAGAGATCATCCATCCCAACCCCCTGCCCTGGGCAGGGACACCTCCCACCTTGCTCAAGGCTTTAGCCAACCTGGCTGTGAACACTGCCCGGGTTGGGGCAGCCACAGCCTCCCTGGGCAACCTGGGACAGGGTCTCACCACCCTCACAGCAAAAACTTCTTCCTGATATCTAACCTAAATTTCCCTCTTTCAATTTCTCCCCATTCCTCCTTGTCCTGTCCCTGCAGTTCCTACCCAAGAGTCCCTCTGCAGCTTCCCTGGAGCTCCTTCAGCTCCTGGAATGCCAGAGATGGAGCAGCAGCTACAACACTACAGAGTATGGAAAGGCCTGACAGGAGGCTTAGGGGAGGATACACACCCTCAGTCCTTGAGGTAGGACTGATGAGGGAAAGGAGCAAAACAGCAAGCACAGCACCTCACTGTGAACCAGCACAACAACAACTGACTTTTCACCAGCCTCAGCCTGGGGACAGCTTTGTCACCTCTGTGGGAGGTGGACAAGCACACCAGGAACATGAACATTGTGACTAAGGAAATGCAAGTCACAGTGTCCTCTCCTAACACCCTGTGGTGACTGAGGCAGGTAGAGAAAAATGTTGATGTTTTCAGAACATTAATCCATGCTGTAAATGGGCTGACAGAGAAATTCATTTTTGTGTAAAATTCATTTTCATACAAAAATCATTTTCATATGAAAAGAAAATGAAATTAGAAAACTAAAAAATTATTCCTAAGGAGAAATTAAAAATATAAATCGATTGGGTAGACCCATGTTTGCAGGAGGCCTTTGGGAGCTCTATCCCTGTTTTCCCAGCCCTTTCTCACCACTTTGTTCTTTAGGTGTTTGATTCTCAGTTCTTAGTACCCAAGCTCTACAGGCACTTGCTTTGGCAGTGATAGTCCATACACCAAAAATTCCATTTCCAAGCACTCTTTTCACTCTTGGCATGTCCAGCTCTGAATCTGATCTGACCAGACTTGCCACTGACACAGGATCTGCTCCACCTTCAGAAGCACTGTGGAGCTTAAGAACATAAGAAATGAAGTGCCAGGGGACACTTACTACACTGGATTGAGACATCCATGGGATAGGTGATGGAAACCTGAAAGCTGATGCTGCTGAGCCCCTTTGGAGCTCACTGGGGATGAATTGATGTATAAAATAAGTTGCTTTGATGTGGATTCATTAAATACCTTATGGATCATGAGCCAGCAATGTATCCACACCTCTTCCTGTCACACAAAATACCTAACTTCTCCCTTTCCTTTTCCTCTCATCCACACACCTCTTCCTGTCACACAAAACACCTAACTTCTCCCTTTCCTTTTCCTCTATGTCATCATCCATTTGGGCATCAACCTATCAACTTTAATGGTTTTGGTTTTTTCCCCAAACTAAAGCCCTGTGAGCATTGTGAGTGCCCTGTGAGCACCTCAGGGCCCTACAGCAGAGATTATGAATAGTTGGATCCAATGGTTGTCAGATGCTGTTGAAAAACAGGTGAAAAATCATGAAATAAGGTGATTTGAATTAAAAATGTGGTGTGAAACTTTAGCTCCATTAAAGTGGGTTGTTTGGGTTTTTTTTCTCTACTGGTTTCTAAGAAAACTTCACACGCTTTGATTAAGAAAAAAAAGAAAAAACATAAGCAGCATCATCTTGCATTTTAAAATGACAGTAAGAAATTAATCACAGAACAAGAGCAACTCTCCTCATTTGACATCTTTTCAAGGGTGGACAGGAAATCATTGCAGGAAAAGGATTATATTTAAAACCAGCAAACAGCCAGAGCATAAATAGGAGCTGATTAAAGCAGCAATGGCAAAATAAAATGATAATAAGAACAAAATAGTTAAATTAATAATATTCTTCTCCTTCACACATAATAAACTGGCTCCATTTGGCCTATTGTCTTTGATGAAGTGGATTAAACTCCCAGGAACAAGGGCCTCAATAACAAGCAACAAGGGCCTTCCCACTGCAGGGACAAGCAGGGATCCAACTGCATTGCAGCTGTAAAATTCAACAGGAAATTTCTTTTTCTATGTTTGAGCTTCACCAGCCCTTGGAGGTCTCCCCTATAAAAGGGGTCTGGGAAACATCAGCAGCTCTCAGTAAAATGCATGACCTGGTAGTCCTGATGATATAGTTCCAAAAGAGTTTAATGAAGCTTTAAGAACATAGTTTTCAGTAAATCCTTGCAAGGTATCACAGAATAGAGTCACAGACCGGTTGGGGTTGGAAGGACCTTAAAGCTCCTCCTTGCAAGGTATCACAGAATAGACTCACAGACTGGTTTGGGTTGGAAGGACCTTAAAGCTCATCCAGTTCCACCCCCTGCCATGGGCAGGGATATTTTCCACTAGCCAAGGCTGCTCTAAGCCCCATCCAACCTGGCCTGGAACACTTCCAGGCAGGCACATGTCAAATATAGGCCCAGAATCCTACCCAGGCAGAGCTCTGCACTGACCTCAGCAGCACTTGGACAAGTATTTCCACCTGCATATCATTTCTACACTTCAGTTAGATCAGTATCCATGAAAAGGGGAGCCCCAAGGCACTGCTTTCCAAGGATTCTGGTATCACTGGACCTGTGCATATGTCCTCACCCATGCATCTGGAAATGTAAATTGATGTCTCTAGCTACAAGCCACTGACTGTTCACATACATGATTTGATTCAAGCCAGCACTCTTGCAAACAGCAAAGAAAGAGCATTCAAGCATGTTTTTCACTCTGATATTTCAGAGGAAGCTTTTACACTTAAATTGTCAAAGCAAAGGGAGTTAAAGGATAGTTAATACACTCTGAGCACACATACCTCTTGACACCAAAAAACCAAAGTGAGATGTGAATGCTTCACCTGGTGAAATCTATCCTGGGACAGCTTAAAAAATATCCTTCTAAAATACAGTTCTTTAGAGCAAGACAAAAGATGAGGCATCACAAAGGAAAACAAATTGAAATAAAGCCTTAATTAATTTCATGGTTATGTGATCAGCAGTGAAGTATTCAGTCAACCTAAAGCCTTGGCAGTAACAGAGATGGTCTAAAAGGGCTCACAGAGTACCATGGGATGCTCCACTTGGACAGACACATAGAGACACTGAAAAACAGAACCCAAATGATTCAAGTTCCCCAGTAGCAAAATATTGCTTACGCAGCTATGGAGATGTTGGCTGCAGACATGGGGCTCACTTCAGCCACTTCCTTGGCCTTCTGCAGGGCAAGCTTTTGGTTGGTGGCTTCCTCCATCTCCTCCTCATCCTGGGGCACAAAATCAAGAGAAAACAAAGCTTACATAGTAGTGACAATAAGCAGAGCTTCCCAAGACCTGAGTCATATATGGTTGTCACCTCTGTGCTGTGAGAACAGTGGGAACTCATTATATAAGGCAGATTTTCATATCTTCTTGCAAGGACTTGGTCTTTATGCAAGTTGAGATGAGAAATGCAAAGTTTGGTCAATTGCTCAGTGTGATTTTTCCCACACAAAGCTTTCTTACCTCTCTTGGGTCTCCTCTCACCACTTAGCACTGGGGAAGGAAACTACAGTGGAGCAGGGAGAGACTCGATCATGAGTGTGACATTTCTGAGTTGCAGTGAGCCCCATTTCCCTCAGACCTGTGTGTGTAATAACCCCCTAAAGCCAATGTCCTACTGAAATACAAGAGACAGACTCCTAAACCTTTCCTGACTTGTTGCCAATGTGACTTCTGAAACAAGAAGGCCAATACACAACAACAGGTGTGACTGGTCCTGCACACATCAGTTTTACCCCAGGTATTTCCACTCAGTCCAGATGACTCACTGAGGACTTAGGGGGTGAAAGCAGAAAGGAGTTATATTAAATGTAATCTGTAGACTCAGGCTGAGAGCAGAAGAGGGTTATGGTTGTGTTTCCTGCACATACTCTGGATCATGAGGATTTTAACCTCTGTTGCACAGCAAGTACCTGCAGAGTCTCACTGTGAGTTGTTTCCTCCTCCCCAGTGTAACAACATGAGAAGCAGTGCTCAGATTCAAACTACAGGATCTTAAGCACTGAGAGGCAAAAAAGCAAAGAAACAGCTCATCTTCAATGATCAACTCTGTTAAACTTCCCTGAAACTTTCTAGCCAGTCAAACTAGGTAGTGAAATCTCAGCAGGGTAAGCAGAGAAGCTCTGATGGCACTGTCAGCATCACACATATCCAGGGAATAACCACATGTCAAGGCAAGAGCAGTCACAGACTCCTCTGTCAGGCTTTATGAGATACTACAGGTCTACCTCTGCTCATCAAGGGTAATGCTGTGAAGGAGTTATGCTTCAAATAATGGGAGCAGACAGTAAGACATTTAGCTTTGAGCAGGAAATCATATAGATTTATCCATCCTGAATACCATCTACATAAACAGCTCCTGGCTCTGACTTTGGTGTTATTTGCTTCAACTGAACTCATTTGGAAACTCTTTTCCTTTTCTCCTTTAGGAGGAAAAGGAAAGGATGGAAAATTAATTTTTAAAATTCATTATCATTTAAGGGTTTGGTTTTTTTCCCTTTTCTAAGTATTACCAAGGCTATACCAAGGAAATTCTTACTGGAGTGAATGAAGAACTTGAACCAGGCCATGAAAACAAGTTCTGCTGAGCAGTTGCACAAAGTCATAGAATCACAAAATCATAGAATCAGCCAGGTTGGAAAAGACCTCCAAGATCATCAAGTCCAACCCTACTGTGGTCACTAAACCATGGCACTAATTGCCACATCCAGTCTCACCTTGAAAACCTCCAGGGATGGTGAATCCACCACCTCCCTGGGCAGCACATTCCAATGCCTGAGCACTCAATATCTCAATGTCTCTCAGCTGCCAAATTCCAGTAATTTATCAATGGGGAGGGAGAGGCAGAGGCTGAGAGCAGATTCTCTATAGATTGAAAGCAGAGAAGGTGATTCTTTCGCCCCCAAAATGAGTCATTCTGAAGCAGTGGTGAGTTTTGTAACAGACGTTGGATGATGAAGCTGAAGTTAAATATAGTCACAATTCTGAGAACTGCTGTTACAGGCCACAAGGCCCAGCTGAGGTGATCAAGAAATGGTCAAATTACCATGATAAAGAAGTCCAAATTAGCACCCAGAAAGTGGAAATATTAGTTGAAATGTTTCGGTTCTGAGGCAGGAGAAGTTTTGTCTTCTCTAAACAGAGACAGTTGCCAACTGCTTATGGTGTTCCTACATTATATGCAGCACTGATCTCAATTAGTTTTACAGCATAAATGTCAAGGAAGTCCCCTGAGATCAACTGACTCCTGAGTTACTTAATTGTATCTCTGGGCCATTTTGGGTTTGCATGATCATATTTACTTAGCAGTAAATCCCTCATTCTCCAGGTATGTATATAATTGAATTACTTTTCTCTTTTTCCTCTTCTTTTAAAAGCCCTAGTGATTTTTTTTTTGGGGGGGGGGAATCATAAATAAAATTAAAGCAAAAAAAAAAGCTTCGCAAGAAGCTTCATGATTTGGCAATGCTGCTGCATCCATCAATGTTTAATTATACTTTATAAACATCAACAAAGTCAGGGTTCTAACCACCCCTGTCAACTGCTGAAATATTCACAAGAAAGCACTTAAAGGATTAAGAAAGAAGTAGGATGAGCTTCATTATCCAAGAATTGTGCTGGGCCTGATCCTGTCTCTTAGTACATGCAAGGGATGCCTGTAAATCTGGGAGGATCCATGCCTCCAGGCTGGAGATTTCTGTGAGCTTTGGGAAGAAGAGAGACAGAAAAAAAACCCCAACCCACAGAGCCATAAAATACAACCCTGAGCTGCATTATAAGAGAGGAGGGATGCAGAACATGGGCTCAGAGACATAGGAACATTTATGACACACCTGAGAGCCACCAGCCTGATTGTAGGGTCTGCATTGGATATCAGCTGTCAGGAAACACAGCTCCAGGCAAAGCTGGAAGCTGAAGCCCCTCACAGCTCCACAGTAGGGAAGGAGAGCTGGCAAAAACAAGCTAAGATACAACAGGGATGTGAATTTTGGTCTTCAGCAGCTGGAGAGGGGTAGGAAACTCTGAGAAGTTTGTATCACTGAACTGTGGAGTTGCAGTGTGTATCCATAGAAACATGAAGGTTGGAAAAGACCTCTGAAATAAAGTCCAGATTTTAGTCAAACACTGCCAGGTTCACCACTAGCCATGTCCCTAAGCACCACATCTACACCTTTTTGAGCACTTCTGTAGAATCTCAGGCTGGTTTGGGTTGGAAGAGATCATGGGCAGGGACACCTCCCACTAGCCTAGGTTGCTCCAAGCCCTGTCCAACCTGGCCTGGAACACTTCCAGGGATGGGGCATGAACTACTGCACCTTTCTGCAGCTCTAAAAAGAGAAAACATCCTGCTCACTGCTGCATCAGCACATGGTTAGTGACCCTCTTACACTGCAAGGACTACATAAGCTAAAGCTTGTAAAACACACCCACTAAGGTGCTGCTTTAGCCACTGGCAGGTCACTGTGACTGATGGTGATGGTACCAGTGCAGCAATGGGCTGCAGGGTTTTATGACTCAGTGAAAACAAGCTAGAAATGTGCAAAAAAAAAAAAAAAAAGAAACTCTAATGCTGCTCAGAAATACATCTGAGTATGCTCCAGTGAGAAATTCAAAGTATGTAATAATACAAAGTGCAGCGTTTGCACCTTCCTGTGCAATACTGAGGATGGAGGTTTTTCTCCATAGGGAATGCTCTAATATAACTCTTCTCCAGAGGGGATACTCCATCATAAATTTGTATCTATACACAAATCTGTGCATACAGTAAAGTTACATCAGTGTCATTTCCATCTCTTGCCAGGACCTGGCTCTCTGCCTCCGATCTGTGCCTCAGATTTCTCTTGCACCTGGTGAGAGGCAGGAAGGTTCTAACATCTTCACTGAGCATTCACAACAGCCTCTTCAAGTTGTTTGCCATGGAACTGGTTGGAAAATATCAATGCTTTGATCCATGCTGAACCTCAGCAAGGTATGAAACCTGAGTGTGAGACAGCAAAACAGCAACACAACACTTGTGTTTGCTCATGTCTGAGCTTCAAGGCAGCCAAAACCTGTTCATTGCTTTGCCTCTGCTCTTGGAAACAGCAAATACTCTGGGTCCCTGCTCACCTCCACACAGCAGCAACATGAGCAATGCCCACTGCCCACTCTGTGATAAAATGAAACGAAAGAACACGACAGAGTTCACTGCAATGAGTCTGAAATGAAACAACCCTGAAGAAGAATAAACCTCCACGTCCCTCCCTGCTAGGCAAACTGGTAAACAGACATTCAACACAGCTCCAGGGGAAGGCCCAGGGTGCCTGGCAGGGTGTAACATGTGCTTTGGGACGAGCAGTTGTGCTCTGAGTTGGAAGAAAGAGAAATCTCACACATACCTTGGTCAGCTCTTGGGCATTTGCCAGGTTGTCAACAGCGATGGCCAAGAAGACATTCAGGAGTGTATCTTTTGGGAAGCAGCTAAGGAAAAACACTTCACACAGCATGCACAGCAAACTGTTTCCCTTTTATTTTCCCCTCATGCAATTTTTGGTGTATTATGGATTGATCTTCACCCCTGATTTGTCATCATACCCAACTCACCCACCTCTTCTCCAGGAGCAGCTCTGCAGCCCAGCAGTTTCTGGATACCCATTTGTCTCCTCCCCAGCACCTGTCCCTAGTGAGGATACACAGGTGCTGAGCAGATAAGTTTTACACCAGAGATACAACCAGTATGGGACCACATGGTGCTCCTAGAGACACTACAACCTTTGGTTTTTCATTCCAGAAAACACTCCACACCTGCACAGACACACAGATTTCACCTTCATTTTTCCCCCTTGTTTAAAAGGACAACCAGTGGAGCTGAAGGAAATTGGTCACTTTAAAGCCAACATTTGCATAATATATACAAAGAGCTATATAAAGGCATTAGGTACCATGGAAAAATGAAGCTCAGGTCACTGCTGCATCACATAGTGCTGGGAGAAAACTCTCATGACTTATCACTCTGAAGTCAATATGACAATTAGAGCATCATGGACATCCTCCATCCTGAGTGCTGCAGCACCATGCAGAGCTCAGCTACAGAAGAGCCTGTTAGCAGGACACCCAACCTGAGCTAATGAGCTCTGATGGCAAACAGGTCGTTAGTCCAGGCCAAATTGCACAGAGCCCAACTAAGCAAGGGCCAGTGCCCACGCCAGCCTGGGGCTCTCTGCAGAGCTCTGCATTAGATCACTCAGACAATAACATTGGCCTGTAATTATTTATTCATAGTTTATTTTCATTTTTCCACTTAATGATTTCAGCTATGGCTTGTCCCTTTGTATATTTTATTGTTGTTATTCCAGCTCTGCGTCTGCAAAACAGCCCCAAAACAACTGTAAATCAGGTACCTGCACACAGGAAAGGGCAAGCAAAGCAAAACCAAGTTGAAACTACTCTCCTGAGGAGAAAATGCATTTTGCTCCTGCACATTACCTGGTGACAGGAGAGTCTGTCACTCCAGAGCTGTGGAAAGCTATGTTTGCTCCTCCAAATATGAATGTACATGAGAATGAAGTTGATCTCATGAGTATTTACCCTCTGCAGATTCAAAAGGCTACAGCAGGAAATGTGTTTGCACTGCAGTGTCCTAACCAGTGCCAAACTGGGCTGAGACCTGCTACAGTCCCTGTAAGCCCAGGGAAAGGACAGTTTTAGGCAACTACTCCAGGTGTTTGGAAGGGACTCCAAGAAAGCTGCAGAGGGACTTTGGACAAGGGGGAATGGATTCACACTGACAGAGGACAGGGCTAGATGGGATATTGGGAAGGAATTCTTCCCTGTGAGGGTGCTGAGACACTGGCACAGGTTGCCCAGAGAAGCTGTGGCTGCTCCATCCCTGGGAGGGTTCCAGGTCAGGTTGGATGGGGCTTGGAGCAACCTGGGCTGGTGGAAGGTGTCCCTGCCCATGGCAGGGGGTGGGATGAGTTGATCTTTGAGGTCTCTTCCAACCCAAACCAGTGTGGGGTTCTGTCCTTTTCTGTTGGGTTACTGTGTATCCTGTTTTAGGCTGTGAGGTGGAAGCAACGTCCAGAGCAATGCCACAGGGAGGGCAGGACTGGGGATGAGGACTGAGCTGGGGGCACCAGCAATCCCTCTGTGAGGGCAGGGGAGAAGAGAGAGTTCCCAGGGTGCTGTCAACCTGCAATGAGATTTTGGGAAACCTGGGCCCCTCTGATTGCTTTCCATTGCTCAGAAAGCTGACTGGAGGAGGCACCTGAGGTTTCTGTGCAGCCAGAGGAGCCAGGAGTGGTGCAGAGCTGATTGCAGCTGCAGTTGTCTCTCCCAAACAACACTGTCCACAAACCCTTGTGTCCCAGCAGACTCCACGTTGGCATGGGCACTGCTGGCTGCAGAGCCCTTGCCCCACATTGCATGGCATCAGGAGACTTCCCAAGGCAGCCAGGGACCAAAACTGGGCCAAACAATCAGCTCAAAGCCTCTTTGCTTTCCCTCTCAAGAGCCTTTACCAAACACAATTCAGCCAAGACTTCAGAACCAGACATTCCCATCTCTAATTCCCATTGAGCTGAGTGTCTCCAGAGCCTGGATGCCTATCAAATTTGGAGTCTTTGCTCGTGACAGCAGGAAGCAGGAGTTGTGTTAATCTCTTAGGATGCATCTGCATCCTCACTGACTGCCAAACCCCACAGGGATGGGCTGCAAAGCCCTGGGGTTTCTCCAGCCAAGAACCAGGCCATCCATCAAGTTTTCTCCATGGGATGGAGGTTTTTACCATGTGATCATTCCTCTGGGTCAGACAGAGGTTTGAAATGTGATGCCCATCAACTCCTTCCTCCATTCCAGCAGGACAGTGAGGAGTGTGGGTGGAAGCACCACAATCCCGTGAGCCCAAGCAGATAAACAAGATGATGCTGAAATTATCACCTCCTCCCACACAGAGTCAGAGCTCAACCATCTTTTCAATTGCAAAGGTATTCATTTCCCCCTTTATTTTTACCTGAGGGTTGGGATGTGCAGATAGAAGGGCTGAGGCAGCAACCCCACAGCACCACTGGGGTGCTGGTCCATGAGGGGTGTTTGGGTTTCTTCCTCTGGGGTCCTTCCAACATGCTGGCAACACTTCCAAGCCTCTTGCTCTGGGAATAAACGTCTCAGTAATAAAACTGTCTTCCTACCCTGCCTCCTACACACACATGCTGGAAGTGTCTCATGGAACATAAGCAACCACTGGAAATAGAATTAATTTTTTTTTCCTATCAGATCAGGATGTTTTGATTCATTTCCAAGCAGACACAGTCTAGCAGATTTGGGTGTTTCTGCCCCAAAAAAGGTCTCTCAGTCCTTTCTGCAGAGCTCAGGGAGTCCCAAACATCACCCAAATATATTCCCAAGTATCTTCCTCCAGGCAGTTGCTGCTTTTCTTTTCAGGATCCTCCAAAGTTCTTCATGGAGATTTTTTTGCTTCTCTATTTTGTTTCCTCAACAGATGTATCAATTTATCAATTAACTGACTAACATGGAATACAGGCATGGTGTCATTTCCTATAAAACAGGCCAAATCCTGCTGGTACTCTAATCATGTACTTTCATTAAGCCATTTCTGCTTCCACACAGACTCTCTGGAACTGCAAACGTAATGTGAGACACTTCTGCCTCAGGAAAACAAACTTTATGGATCTTTTCCTTGCACTAATCTTGAAAAAGTGAATGGATTCAAAGAAAGAACCAAGATGCAGCAAGAAGCAGAAGAAGGAAGCACAAATCCACCTTTCATCTTCATGAAAGGGAACAATCTCAGTGTCCCAAACAGCTCTGGAAGGAGAAAGGAGTTCCTCATATTTCAAACCAGCAGGTTTTGACCCAAAATTGCCAATGCCAAATCTCTGACAAGATCTGGTCCAGTCAAAATGGGTCAAAAATGGCCTCACCAAATGGCAATGCTCACAGTTCAGAGTAAATCCCCTCCTAGCAGAGGAAGCAAAGTGTCATTTGCTGATCAGCATCAAGAAGGACTTTGGCTGATTTCAACAGTAGTGATAGAAGAAAATAAACCCAACCAGTCCCACTTAGGAAATTCAGTGTCAGCACATCTGTGTGGGGAGAGATGGCAAAGCCACATTTGGCAAATGAAGAAAAATCCATTGCAATCAAAAAAAAAACAAGTTTAAAGCTGTTTGGAGGGAGTTCTGTAAGGAAGAGGGAGGATCTTCAGGAAGGCCTAAGTTAGAGCAGCAAAGTCACATTCATCTAACCTAATAATTCATTTCATGTGAATTAATCATTGTTGATGAGCCTAGTGGGTCACTTCCAGCTCAGGGTATTCTATGATTCTAATCTACAGTGTAGCTAATCAACAGCTCAGACTACTCTCAGGGGTTTGTGGGTCTCAGGAAGGTGACCCCAAGGCTTGGACAGGTGCCTCAGCCTCTACACTCCCCTGTCCTTCACTCTGCAGCATCACTGCCATGGAATGGCTTTTCCCTCCAACAGCAATGCAGGACTGTTCTTTTCAGGCAAACGAAAGTTTTATTTTCAGATATTCCTGTTTCTGTTTTGACAGTTAATGATCACTTAAGTCCCTGGTAAGTCACACAGCTCAGTCTCCCCTCAGGGATAAATGAGTGCCTGCTGCTTGCTTTCAAAATCAAAACCATAGCTAGTGAGCAGCAGCACTAGCATTGACCTTACACAAATGTTGCTTGAAATATCATTGCAAGCCTTAGTGCAGTTCCCATGGAAAACAGGCAAGGGAGAGATTTAACCACTCATTCCTCACCACACACCTCAGCCCAAGTTCTCCCCTCCTGCCCATGGTGCTGAAAGGTAAAGAGGTCTGTGTGCAGGGCAGACAGGCTCTTACAAGCTCTCTGTGAAAGCAGATGATGCTCTCAAACTAAGTTTCTACAGAGACAACCTGGAGCAGGTCTCTAATTCTCCAACAGGGATGTAACTCTCCATAGAAATTAACAGATTTGCCTTAGGTTTGTAACTCTGATCACTAGAAGAACTGTAGAATCACAATCTGGTTTGGGTTGGAAGGACCTTAAAGCTCAGCTCATTCCACTCCCTGCCATGGGCAGGGACACCTTCCACTAGCCCAGGTTGCTCCAACCCCAGTCCAACCTGCCCTGGAACAGTTCCAGGGATGGGGCAGCCACAGCTTCTCTATAGAGAAGTTGGCAAACTTTAGAAGGTGGTGAAAGAAACCTTCTAGGACCTGACAGAAGGGAGTTTGAGTGTTGTTAATCTTTGTCAGCCAACTCTCCCCTCCCTGCTCACAGAACTTCCCTGCAGCACACTCACCTCTACCTGCAGGACTCATTGAGTATTAAAGAATCCTACCTGACACAATTTGGGTACAAACTGAAAGAGGGAAATGCAGATTAGATCTTATGCAGAAGTTTTCCCTGTGAGGGTGGTGAGACACTGTCCCAGGTTGCCCAGGGAGGCTGTGGCTGCCCCAACCCTGGCAGTGTTCACAGCCAGGTTGGCTAAAGCCTTGAGCAACCTGCTCTGGTGGGAGGTGTCCCTGCCCAGGGCAGGGGGTTGGGGCTGGATGATCTCTGAGGTCCATTCCAACCCCTAAAATTCTACGATTCTCTGGTTCTATCTGGCTAAATGCACCAATGATGCCCCAAGGAGTTTCAGTCGTGCCACCACCACTGAGCTGTGGGCAAAGGGTGTGAGAGAGGCACTGGAGATGTCTCAGGGAAGCAGCCAGCAAAGGCACCTCCTGGATCACCTCAGCAGCAGGACAGCAGAAGGGGAAGTCAGGATGACATCTGGGGAGAATGTGGGTGAGGTTTCCATTCCTCACTCTGCCAGGGCAAAGAGGCTAATACCCAATTCATGGCACATGTGCCTCCTCCTGAATAT